ATCATGTTTTAGAGAAGTATGAGTATTATCAAATCCGTTTTTCTTACAAATGATCAAATGTTATTCAAAAAGAACTTACCATATATCAATATACAGAATATGAGGATTTTTTTTATTGGAAAAGTAGCTTAACTCTTTGGCACCCGGCATAAGAGAAGGAAAAATGATTTTTCAGAAAATTTATTAATTTTTTTATAAAACGGTTGTATAGTGTGCTTCCAGAAAATGATGATTTGAAAAGTGCATGATGCCTAACATTTGTTTTTTGGCAAATGCTTCTAAAAGGCATACATAATGAATGATTACTCTGTTCATTTACAGATGAGATTCTTGATGCATATGTGCGTCAGTGGCAGCCAAAATAGGAACAAATTCTTGCGTAGGCCAAACTATGTTTATTTCTAGAATCAGAAAGGTAAAAACGTTGCAAGTGCTATGAACACGTTTTAACGCGTAAAATCAATAGTAAGACCGAAAAAAGCGCATAAGCCTTAAACAAAAATTGTGGATTTTAACAGATTCAAGTTGTGGGAACGTGTCTTAACCAGTTCAAAATTTCTTAGTAATGTCCTTTTAACAATAATATATCGTTAAAATGACTTTAATTAAGAAACCTTTACATGTTCCAGCGAATATCGCAAAACTTTTATAGTAGAAAGAACCATAGAAGATACGAAAATACTCGTGAACTTGTTGTAATAAATTTCAGAAAGCATGTAACGTGTTGGATAAACGTTGAACTGAACAAAACTACTACTAAGTTATGTTTCGAAAATAAAAATAAATGTAATTGAAATATTTAACTCCAATTAATACTTTACCTCATTTTGATAATTTCGCTGAAATAATCTGTTTCTTTTGTATATCTGAAAAAATTTTCTCTTGTGGATGCACTTGAATTCATGTCAAAGTATAAGCACATGATGATTATATTTCATTTTCTTGTTCTGTATATCTATATTATTGTACATGTGTTTGTGGATTAACATGATCAAGAAAAGTGATTATGACAAAGAGAAATATAATGCTTCGAAATATTTGAACAAAAGCTATTTACGCTGTTCAATTTTATCAGTCTCTCTAATCATGTATTTTGTTTTATTACATTAGATCAAAATGAAAAATTTTGAACGATTTTATTTGACACAAAAAAGAGGAATTGCTTCTGCATAATTCAACTGAATGTTATCAAGCTTTTTACTTTTCTATTTTTTCTGTTTGCCATTATTAAAGAACACTTCAAACTCTTGTATCTTTTCATTATCTGTATGACCAACTTTTCTTTTCGTTCACTTCTAGATGCTCCTTTATATCATCGTGCCTAAGAGAACAAAAAACATTATCCTTGCAAAGATTAGTATTTTTTAAATTTTTGCTTGGAACCATACTATACCCATAGCTTAAACTTTAGAGTACAACTCAGTGGTTGCACTTTTTCCAACAATGCAACTCTTACAAATCGGAGTTTTCGTTCATTTTTTCGATGAGTTAATACGTCATGAATTTTGACTGATCCTCGTATATCAAACCAATACTTACATGGATAGCCAGAAAATTTTATAATTTTTCTTCTCTTATATAGTGCAATCGAACCCACTACTCCTCAGCTTTCGAATTGAAAATATTTCTTTTTTGCTTATTTTATTCTCAAAACAGTACAATAATATGGCAAGTCATTTATGTACATTGGAGAGTATTTGCACAGGTTACCTCTACTACACACACAATCAACGTGCTTCCGTTTCGTTGTCTTCATCAAAGTAATAAATGATGAATGACAACATGCGATGATAATAACGTCATTTTTTTCCCAAACTTTCTTTTTATCATTCACTAATACATGACAAAATATTGGTGTTGGATTGGATACTTTTTTGTTCTTTTATTTGATTTTTGCTCTTATGTCATATACTATCGCCTTGGTGAGAATAAACAAGAAAATTTTAATTTTTCCGGCTACAAAAAACGAAATTATTTCTTTAGGAAGAATAAGCATGTTGATCTACGAATAACGTCATGACAGAATCAAAGTACGCTTATACCTAGATAAGTCACTCATCATAAAGTACAAAATAAAATGCAACTTAAGTGAGAGAATGACAAGATAAAAAAATAGCAGCAAATAGATGAAATATTGTATTCATTGTCTGCTACTTGCATGCATTATTGAGCATCTTAAGAGAAGATTCCTTAATAAATAATACAACTCAAAAATTAGGCAAAAACAGCTAAGATATCTGGTACAGATGATTTGAGCGGACTCGCATTAGTCGACATACGCAATTCTACTGAAATCTAATACTTTTTCAAGAACGATGAAAAACATTTATATATTCATATGTAACAAGGAATCGAGTAGAAGGACTACTATTAACTAAATGTTGTTTTGGAGTTCACAACAAGGTTCTAATCATTTATTGTGAAATATAGAATGACATGGTTTAATTAAAGCAGTTGTTCTGATTTAGACTTTTTATTCGAACAACAGAAGATGAGTTACTTTGATTTCGATGAAAATTCAATTTACATATCAATGATGAACAGTTGGTCGTCATTTTTGAGTCTCATTAATACTTTACTTTTGGTGTTTTAGATGGGTTTATGCGATCAAAATTTGATAAAACATATCCTATTGAACTATATGGAAGAATTAGTGAAGCTGAATTTCTAGCATCACTTACCAAAATCAATGATGCTTATTATTCGTTCAGAACTCGTTGTAAAATTCATTTTTGTGTTATGTGGTTTTTCACAGCAGTTTCAATATTATTGTGCATTGAAGGTCCAGTAATAATAATTAAGTCTGCAGCAGCAGGTTTTGCAATACTGGGTATTGGAATAGCGTCGTGCGTTTTTGGGACGATTGGTTGTTTTATTAAAATATTACTTTTAGTCAAAGAACGTAAAAAACGAATGCGCGAAGTAGCTGATGAAAAATCTACGAAATACTTATCAAGACCCATACAATGTAGTTGGCAATTATATTGTTCTGCAGTTTCCTCCTTCGATGATGATTTTTCATTAGAATCTTCATTTCGCATAAGCATAGCTATCACAACAAAAAAAAAGAAAAAATATCAGTATATTATATGTTTTAGATCTAGAAAAATAAATTTTCATTAAATTTTCTTGATATGTTTGTATCATTTTGTTTTTTCAAGTAGTCCTTAGTATTGTTTGCCCTCTTGCTTCAATAGGTGGAAATACGGTGCATTATTCAAATCAAGCTGTTTCCGGATGAACAGCATTTGATGAGCAACATCGAGATAATCATTTTATGTGTATTACTCAATTAATTCTTTTTAATTTTAGAGTTGAACAATTAATATTTATTTTCTTTTGTTCTTAAAAATAATTTTATCATAATTTATTAACTAATATTCGAAATTTTATTAAACGTATCAAATCAAGTTACGAATAAAACTGAAGCTTGAAAGTTCTGAATGAGCTTAAGTCAAGGTTGAATACAAGATTGATAGAATGTCTAAATTGTACGAATTGTAAATTATAAGAAGGTTAGCAGAATTTTCTTCAAGCACTATTCGAGAATTCTGCTTTGTGCATCGATCTCTATAGGTTTCCAAACCAATTTTGTATATTTCTATGAAAGAGAATCGGATACTCAGCTTTTTTCTTAGAATTCTCTGTCTTCAATAGTAGTGAATAAGAATTTTTATTTCCTAGCAGAATCATATTTCATGTCATGCGTTTACCTTCTCATAATGATTAGAAAAACAACGAATAGGTCTTAACCAATACCAACATTCATACTAATAGCATGTTTTAAAAATAATATACTTCTTTTATGAAAACCTTACTCGGATACGGACATCATTTTCAAAAAAACTAGGGTGTGGGTGTGAGTGTTAGTGGAGAGAAGGCAGACATCTATTGACACTTCGAACACATCCACACCCTCGAAAGAGTGATTTTGACATTCATGTGAACATAAATGTATAAAAAAATGTTCACTCACAGCAGTAAGCACATCTATATCACCCCACTTCGACGCATATCTTCAATTAGACTTTGTTTGATACTTTATGATAACAATAAGAATAATGATGATGAGATATTACGAAGATTCCTGTAGTCAAGTCTCTGATTTGAAAGGAGGATGTCGAGAAAAAAATTGAACATCATTCACTTGAGAGGTGACAAATTATTCTACGATGTAAAATCGAATGTAACTAAATCGATAAAGCACGAACATATTACTGGAAACAGCATTTTCAAATAGTGTCGTGACTGAAAACTCTTCATAGGACGTTGGTAAGCGTCACAAAAAGTTTCTACAGAGGAAGAAAACTTTTTTTCTGAAACTGGACATGTTCATGTGAAAAATGATATTTAGAGATGAAAGTCGTACAAATAAACTCTTAAAATGCAACGAAGACATAGTTCAAAGTACAATTGAATGTAGCTGGCTATATATTATGAGTATGATCTGATCGAGATACGCATTTCTGTAAACTACCTATAATAAAAATACAGATATAGAAAACAAAATTTGTTCTTGAAATTGTTCTAAGTCGTCATTACATAGTGAGCCCATAGTTGATAATAACAATATTTATGTTTGGAATGGTGGTACAAGCCTATTAAATGCTTATATCATGAAGCAATATCGCATCGTTTTTACAATGCTTTTTTTCTTTTATAAGTATTACTTTCTTAGAGAAAAATTAAGTGCTTAAGAAAGCAATGGAGCAATATCAAATTTCTATTTATCAAAAGATCATATCGTGTGCCTCTTCACTTTCAGCGAATGTAAAAAAATATTGTCTCTTCATTTAGATATAAAGATGGAGGCCGCCGCTGTTCTGTTTCATTTCAACACAAGCGATGATATCAGCATTAATTCATTGTTTCGTATTCGTTCTATTCAGGTAATTCTAAAAACTATTTTTTTCTTATCCATTTAATGTTGAACAATCTTCCTGTTAAGCTTTACAGGTTTGATTCTTGTTTCATTTTACATGTTTTGCTATTAATGTAGTATGTCGCTAGTTCGAGTGAAATCTCAATTCTGCTATGGGATATCTCAATATGATCGATGTTCACCAAATAGTGCTTGTGCCTGTTTCTATATCGCAGGTGCTATTGACATTGGTATTTGTAGCGATGAATTCGTCGATTGTTCTGAGCTAGTTACATGTGAACAGCCAGACAACCTTTGTCATGAGCCTAATCATAGATGTGTTCATCATCCTCGATGTCGCAATCTTCCGGTTTGTTATCCAGTCTCGAGTTTTAATCGACAACTTTGTCCACCGACAGCAAGTAAGAAAATACTCAGTGATCTATAGATTCAAGTGAAACTCGAACCTTTCTTAAATTTACTTCTTCATCATTCACATACTCTTATATATGCGGTTCATGTTAGTATAGAAGCAATAGGGAAGAGTCGAAGAGCCTTTCAAGAAAAGGAGATGAAGTCTGATAGAGAGAAAACGCATTGTAATTTATCAGAGAAAATATTTCATCACTTCTCTTGAACTATATCCATTAATTTGAAATACAGAATCGGTTGCAGTTATATGTAGTGAAGCATAAAGATTGTGATCAACATCTAGCTCGAAAGAAAACTTACTTATAATTCTCTTTGTTATATTTTAAATCACTAAACTTGCAAAACTAAAAACTAACCATTTAGCTGTAGTGGAGTAACTGCTAGAGTTCAAGAGGGCTTTAGCAATTGAGTGAGATGAATATGCCATTAATGGTCACTTATACAACTGTGTGTGTAACTTATATTTTACAGCTTGTAGTATCCCTGGCTCAGCCATCTCAATAAATTACTAATAAGCGCAGAATTCATATTGCTAGACTGTTCTTGGTATGGCTATTTTATTTTGTAGGCTCTACTTGCATGTATCAAACATTTGAGATTTCTCTCTTAACAGAAGAATATAAACATTCAAACTGACTGACGACGAGAGGGACGAGAAAGAACTCGGAATAATTTATCTCCACACTATTATACTGGTCCTTCGAGTACCTTTTTAAATTCATTTCACTCACATTGCTGACATGAAGGCAGAATATTCTAATAATTTGAGCTGAGCACGCTAGTAGATGGACGATTTATATGGGAGGTTGAAATCACAAATTTCATACTTCGAATAACAACTCTACTTTGAAACACTGCTTAAATTACAGCTACAACTTAAGTACACCGAGTTCTATTTTCCATTGTATGTCAGACCTACTAATATCTGTTTTGTTCACACAAATGTTTCATGATAATGAATAGTAAAAAACACTACAACTGCCATTCCAACTACAACTACAATCACAACCACAACTACAACCACTATTCAACAGCTAGGTAAGCATTAGATTCACGCTTCTTATCCTTGACAGATGCTAATTTTTTACTCAAGGATTTTATAGTTCCTTTGTATGCAATATTACTCGGGAGCTAGCTAAAGATTACATTGATAAGATCAGCGATCTTATATCATAAGTAAATACCAAGTGATAGTAATCTTCATGCTGGTCATATTTCGTTATTATCGAAGTTTGATTTGTCTTGTTGGCAGCTATAGAACGAAATACATTCTTCTTCTTCTTCATTTTATAAGAATGCACTTTATTCTAAGTACTTCCTCATTCTCATCTTCATCTGAGCACAAAAGATCACAGAGAACTGTTTCAGGACTGATTAATTGATCATTTGTGAGAAGTATTAGGATAGGTCTAGAGAAAATTTTGATTGTTATGTGTCCTTCATTCATGTCCTTTACTACATATAAATCAATAAAGAGTACTCGACGTATGCAGAAACATATTGACTCGTGCTCTAAAAGATCTTTATTAGTGATTCATTCAAAATGGATAAAATATTGAAATAAGTTAAAGGTACTCGATCATTCGTGTTATTGAAGACTTAATATAAGTATCACAAACATAGAATGCATGTGGAGGGGGCGATAGTGAACTAGTACTAATTTAGCTACGAAAATATAGCGACAAGCCTAGAAGCTGTAAGAAAACAATGATTGACAAACGAAGCTTTTGCACATTTCGAGTAGGATGTAGGTGTGCAGCGTGAATGAAGTAGACGGTTAAGAGTGAATGATGCCTTTGTTTTCTCATCATAATCCTAGCTAACATTAGCATTTTTCTAGGGAGAATTTTAAACGCTTATTCATAAAAGCCTCTCAAGAGAGACCTTAAAACTTACAATGAAGATTTTCTGAATGAGTATGCATTAGATTTCAGGAGTTCTCATGCAATCTTGTCTGAATATTTCGAACTTGATTTTGGACAGATTAGATGTTCACAAAAATCAGATAAAATCTTGCGAGAACTGTATTGGGAATTCGAATTAAGATTTTGACTACGCTCGAGAATGAGCACCGCTAGAGTCAAGAAAAACCCGGGAGAAATATTCTGAAATGTTCCAACTCATCCACTTAGTTTTCCAATCAAGTTGTTGATCAGGGTTACTATTTAGTTCTCTTGTAAATATTCGCGACGCTAATACTTCAAAACCGTTCGGACAAAATCTTGAAGAGTTAAAGTGGAGACTCTGAAAACAGTAATACTTCGAAATCGAGGAATTATCATCGAATCTTGTAAGAGTTTCTTAATTTGAAAATCTGTCGGATCTTCCGATTTTCTTGCTACGATTCTCTTACAATAAAGACAATTTTCAAAGAACCTGACAAAATCCGGATAGAACTCTCTCTGCCAATCCTCTTAATATCCGTTTAAAATAGAGAGCGTACCCTGTGATGGTTTTGCATTGCGCTTCGAAACTAAAATTTCAATCAGAATTTGTAGACATTCATCGAATAGAACTGTTCAAGAGTGTCATTGAATTCTGACGTTTTCCAAATAAAGATCTTTTTTAGAATTAGAATCCATCTTTACAGGCTTCAAGATGCTTATTCTGGACACCGATCAAAATACAATTATGAATACCTGCAGTGAAAATTCCGAACACAATTATACCAAGCTAACATTCTTGTTCCATCTAGCTTTTAATTCTACATTATCTCTATTCAAAGTTTTGAACCAGTTCTTAACAAAACTCTGATAAAATTTGTCCTGAAACTTGTTCAAAGTCCAACAAATGTCACAAAAGAGATCATCAATGAATCCTTGTGCTGTCTTATTATCTTTGCAAACGTTAGGCTCACATTGCGATGACTCGAAATGGTGATTTTTTGACACCTTCGCGCATAATCCTAAACATTTAAGATGGAGATTTCGATAAATGATCTGTATCAAGTTATAGGGATCCTCATGAGATATTCTCAAAGTTTTTGACTATAGGGTTCTCACAGATCTCGTTCAAAGATAGGAACTCGTATTAATGTAAAAGATCGGTTAAGATACGACTTCCGAAAAACATAGGGATTAGGTTTGACGTTTGTAGTCCAAGGAAAATTTCCCTGGTATACTTTTTCCATAATCCTGCAATTCAGAATGAACTTCTCACAATCCAATGTTTTTCTATCAAAAGCTTACATGGATTTACTATTGCTGTTTCTTGGGAAATCTCTTTACAGTGATCTTCAGGTGTGATTTTCATCGAGCACGAAGATTCTACCTTTTAGCATCTAAAAGATCTTGGCAATTACTAGAAGTGACATAGATATAAGAGAGAGGACGAGGTTCTTCTTTTCATATAAATTTGGCAAAAGATTTCTGGATTGATATCTACAGCAAGAACATTGCTAAAAGTTTTACCAAACTCGTTTCGAAGGCCAAAGCTCCGCAAGAGAGGACATCTCTTCGACAACGACAATGAAGATTTTTTTTCTTTTCCGTTTATTGTAGTGATTCCTAATATTCCTGTTAATGCTCGATGGACACAGAATGGTGTGACCGTTGCTGGAGGCCATGGACGAGGCAATGGCACGAATCAACTCTATCGTCCTCTCGGTCTCTTCGTTGATGATGATGAAACGATGGTCATTGCTGACTTCGAGAATCATCGTATGATGCAATGGAAGATGGGTGATACGAATGGACAAGTTGTAGCTGGTGGCAAGGGCCTTGGATATCGATTGGATCAATTCAATTTTCCGAGTGATGTGTTGATCGACAGAGAGACAAATAGTCTCATTATTTGTGATAATGACCGAGTGGTACGATGGTCTCGTCATAGCGGCACAACTCAAGGAGAAATTCTCATCAAAGGCACCTCTTGTGCAGGACTGGTCTTGGATAATCAGAGACATCTCTACATCGCTGCTATGAGCAGAGCTGAAGTAAGACGATATCGAATAGGAGACAACAATGGAACTATCGTGGCTGGTGGCAATGACTGGGGTTCTGGTCTCCATCAACTCAACACTCCGTCCCGCATCTATGTCGATGAACAAGAGGCTGTCTACGTGTCAGACAGCGAAAATCATCGTGTAATGAAATGGAACAAAGGTGCAAAAGAAGGAATTGTTGTTGCTGGGGGTCAAGGCAAAGGAAACTCTCTGACACAATTGTCGAATCCTTGGGGACTATTCGTCGATACATTGGGTACCATCTATATAGCAGATCGCAACAATCATCGAGTGATGCGTTGGCTTAAAGGAGCAACACAGGGCACTGTCATTGTAGGTGGCAATGGTGATGGAGAAGGAGCTAATCAGTTGGATCGTCCTATAGGTTTGTCTTTCGATCGACATAGAAATATATATGTTGCCGATCAATATAATAATCGTATTCAACGTTTTTCTATCGAGTAAACTCATTATGATGATTAATTCTTTTTTCATCTTCTTCAAATAAACAAGGGGGAAAAAGCTGATTCCATGATTCCATGTGATTCTATTGATTCTATGTGATTCTATTGATTCTACGTGATTCTATTGATTCTACGTGATTCTATTGATTCTATGTGATTCCATGTGATTCCACGTGATTCCGTGTGATTCCGTGTGATTCTACATGATTCCACTGACTCTGGAATTACTATGAATATCATTGTTTTTCTCGACTGTGATACCGTCACATCAATAGAAACATCATAGAATCATTAGAGAGATGAGTTCTGAAGATTCCTGATCATTCCAATCAATAAGGGAAACAGCTGACTCATCGTCGTAAGAGTCAATAAGTCGAGCACAAACAATGCATTCTCGATATTGCTGAATCTTAGACAAAAGTAAATTATTTTTCATTTCACAACAATCAAATCACAAGTGAACTTTCTCGCCCGGTAATGATCTCAAAATGTTACATCTAGTTGAAATCAACATTAAATCGTGAGAGAAATTGGATTACTGTTGTTTCTCGATTTTTCATTATTTTTCATCCTGATTACAACTGCTGCCTCGTTTTCTAAACTGGAGCTCATTGTTAATATATACAGTTTGTGAAAGCTCGATGGTATGAAGAGGAAAACTCTGAAATATGGAATATCAGGAAGCAGAAGATCGTACAGATAGTATATTTCAAGAAGTATGAAATAGTCTGAGTGTTCAAGTAGCTGACTTAAGGTTTCATTTTGCTTGCTGTACCAAACGCAAAAGATAGCCACCTTATGCATATTAGTATCAACTCTTCCTAAAAAGTTCAGGACCACACGATATTCTATAAACTCCGTTAGGGGTATTGCTATTTGTGACTTTCAAGATGGACCAAGGATTGTGATGGAACAACAGCATAACCAAGAGTACGAGAACTACTTTACGGGACTGGAACTACATATTTCCGGCTATTCGCGTTGCCGTTCTTACCAGTTAGGCTAAAAAATGCATACATTCCCTGTTGTATGCATGGAGAGAACGTTCCGTAAGAAATACTCTGTCGCTCATACTAAGAGCATCGCGGACGATGTTCTACAGCTTGCCCACACAGAATACCAAAACACAAAAACATGAATATATAAGGATGATGTTGCATTGGCTTCGGGCTAGTGCACCACTCTGAGAACCAGACCTTATGACTTACGAGCGCGACTAAGTAACATAAAGCCATTAAATGTCAATGAAATGACACAAAATATAGTTTTTTCGTTGAAATCGAACCTGAGAGGTGATAGCTGAGCAGAAATTCCAACCAGTTAAATTAAAAAAGGCATCAATTCTTCATATTAGCTGTAGAAGGGAGCACTCCATGCCTATCATAGATGCTTTTAGAAATAGAAGTTGTCGACTCTCTACATTTCCCTATTTCTCACTGCCTAGTTGCAATTTGTCTGGCATTAATTGAGTTCTTTGATATGCTATTAAAATGTACGCTTTTATGAATCCAAAAGAATCCGATAGTATTGCGATTATTGAGTTCTGGGAAACGATAAGTAGAATCCGATTCACTCTACAATTGCTAGGTTATAAAATTCACTACAACCTCATGTTTCCAAGGCATAGCAAACCAAAGTTAAATTTTCACTGTAAACAGAGTGTATTGATCTGTTTCATTTTGGCTAATTTTTATTCGAAATAACGATGTCGAAAAAATCAATTTACGGAAAGTGTGGAACAAGAGAAATCGCGATACATCAAAAACTTTCTCTTTTTTCTCATTATCAATGGTGATAGAAATTTTCAACTGTAAGAGTTTTTGCACAAACTGCATCAAAGAATATTGATATCTTCATTGGCTATAGAATAGGAGTGGTCATTTAGCCTTACTTTACTAAATAAAGATAATTGAATCCTTTATCTTTAGAAAATACAGATAAGCAAATCATTGATCTTTGTCCCTTAGTATAAAGGAAAGTAAAAACAAAGGGTCACCCCTATTTTAGAGCAGTTTCAAACGTGTCAATCAGATGGGTGTCGCTGCTTCCAGTAGCCAGGCAAGTTTTCTAGGTGTTCTGACTTGGATAATCAGATTCACTTCATTGACTTTGAAAAGATTAAAAATCGTTCTTGGCCCAATCAGTTGAAAACTACTTGGAAAACTCATTATGTGCCAGAAAATGATTAGATAATCTCGTTGATATGATACAAACTGTCAGAAAACTTGTCACTTTGTGCCTTGAGAGGTGAAAAGGGGGCACTCAGAAACTCTGTTTGTTGTATATGTTGCAGGGAAAATTAAAATTCAGAGCAATTTTAAATTTCCCTGAAACTTCTCTAGGGGACTTTTAAATTGCTCTAGATTTTAATCTCCCCTCTAACATATACTTGAGACAAAATGTAAAAGGGCTTCAAATAATTTAACAAATTAATCATCCAAAACGATTACAACTTTTTATAGCTGATACGTGTGCTCGTACATTTAAACATTTCGAAAATGTGTTCATTTATTATTATTATTCGAGCAAATTATTCGATTCATTTAATATTGTTAAACTTAAAAAGCTTATTCTAATGTGAAATACAGTACATCGCCAATCCCTCGATTCTTTTGTTCTAATGATAATATGCACGACACATGTTGTATGAAGTGCACATATCATTTTATTCTTTCAATCGTCTGTTCAACTACCATATTAGTTTGATATATACATTGATTTGATCATTCATGGAGAATCTGGTACACTATTATATCTTTTGACAAATTGTGAGATATAATGTTGAGTTTTTTCTAAACTTGGAATTCAACTATTTCGTAATTTTACGTGCTCATCCTATTCTCACTCTATTAGATGAATAATAGAATCGACCTACTGAATGATACCTACAAGAACACTCTTTCTCTGCATTAAATAACAAAACCTGTCATTTCTAGACTACGTAGTTAGAGTGTACAGAGTTTCAGAATGATATAACCATCGTTAAAGTTTACACCCCTTTTCTCGTTACTATAGAAACCTACCAAATAATCTTTGACTTTCTCCTCCCCTTCTCACTCGCCATTGCTAGAACCAAGGAGAAGTTGCAAAAATCCTCGATTTGAACTTACACACGTGTATGCTTCTGAAGAAAATATACACCGGCTTAACAAAATTTGCTTCTTTGTTATAACATGATGAAATTAATTCTACTACTTGGTAAAAAAAACGGCAAAAATCTTATTAACTGCTGCTAAGTGATGAAATGTGCTCGATCCAGCTTGATAAGAAGCATAGGCATCCATTTTTTAGGTGTTTTATTGTATGTGATTCCAAGTGATTCCAGGTGATTCTGAGTGATTCTGAGTGATTCTATTGATTCTAGGTGATTCTGAATGATTCTATTGATTCTGTGTGATTCTGAGTGATTCTATTGATTCCGATGATTCTATCCCCATAGAATCAGCTTTTTCCCCCTTGCAAATAAATCACGTTGAATTGATGAATGCAATACCTATACCATAAACGTGTATGCGAGCAGTTGTGTCAAAGGGTCTTGGAGAAATCCGATCGTATGCCACGGGCACCAAGATAGTTTCTGACTGAGCTTCTATGGCCTGCATATTAAAAAGGGACCCCAAACGAGCTCGCTCACCACATCTCTCTCTAACAAGCCTCTAACACTTATTTAGAGCCTATCTAAGCTTACTCCTTTCCGTATTCTCTTTTTCACAAAAAAAGAATGTGGGTGTGTATGAAGATATGACACACACCCACACCCTTACTATAAACTTATGTTCAACGCTATTAACAGAGTAGAAAATTGTACCACTGAACTTCCGTTCAATAGACCATGGCAGACATTCCTGGTAATATCTTTCCTTCATCGGAGATAGTGACAGTACCTTCTAGTTAACTACTCCTTTATTTTATTTATGAAGCATTAAGTAAAAGAACGGAGCAGAGATATCTACTAAATTAGACTTGATAAAACAATTTCCTTGTCATTATGAATAACAGCTACATCGTCTCTCGCAATTTAATTTCGCATGAAGTGCGCTAGTAGTATAATTAATTTTTTTCTGTTCGTTGAACACCAAAACCTGATATTTGAAATATTATGAGAACAAGGTGGGGTGTGTTTGTGGTGTCGGCGTGGGTATGTTTTTCCTTCGCCCGTACCCAACCCACACCCACACCCCTGCAGGAGGAGTTTTAAGCACATCATTTATCGGGTGAAGTCCGATACATTGACCGAGCACACGTTCAGGCAAACTTCGTAAATCGGCTTGACAATATGGATATTATTTCTTTTTGATAAACTATTCTTTGGGATAATCATAACGAAATAGGTGCCCGCATTTCGTAACGCATGCTTTTGGCTCTGTATTCCATATTTCAAGGATCAAGTCGAGACAACTAGAGCAATTTTCGTAATAGATCGTCACTGAAATTTCTTTTTTCAACGCAGCAGTAAGCCGATAACGTTTGCTCCATTCATTGGATTTGCCAAGAATTTTCTCAGTACAATAGCCGATGTATTGTGTAAAACGCGTCCAATATGAACGAAGCCATGACTCTTCTAATGTCAAAACATTGTCATCCGTGTTATCGATCTGTTGAAGAAGTTGTTCCATAAAATGTTGACGTCGTTTTGCTTGACTTTGATTGATTCTATTGCGTGTCTCGACATCAGAATCGTCATTCTCAAACGTATCCATATCAGCGAAGATGATTGAATGAGCTTTTACAAGCATGCTTACAACTCGTTGAGGATCTCTATTAGCTTCGATACGTTTGGCCCGATTAATATCTTTGATCTTGCAATATGTAAATACGATGGTACAACGAGCAAGAGCATTTTCATCCAAGAGTTGCTCAAGCATTTCGACATAAATAAGAAATTCTTATGTAAATCGTTCAAAACGAAGCACCAAAAAAGAGTCCATTCTAACCGATCGATGCGTACAAAACAAGTTCGCGAAAAAAGAGTAAAAAATGATTCCATATCCACCGTCAATCATGCATCGCCATAACCCACTCTGTCAACAAATACTTTCCTCTCATGTTGATCCACGAAATTCGATATTGATGATGTTATCCCTACCAGCCGATCAACTTCATCCACAACAGCAGGTTTCAACAACGATTGGAGGATGTAGCTATGGGGTGTAGGTACGCGTGGAGTGCGGTTCTTTACTTAACCCACACCCTCAAGATACCGCCGTCTGTAAAAGAAAAAAAGACGAAAGAAACCAACCATGAACGAAAGATATTGATTCACACAGTGGTTGGCCTCAATGGGTGATTAACTTACGGGACATCAACATCAAGATCAAGATATTAATGCAAAGTTTTGGTTTTTCACTACCATTAGCATTATCAACATTAGTTGCTTATATTGTATTATTTTTTGCTCAAGGATTTAAAAATAAAAAAGAAATAATTGCTATTGGTCATCTTTTTTATCTTGATAAACCACAAGGTAGAAATCAAACCATGTTTTCTTTTATTAAATTCAATTAAATTTTTAACACTTGGTTCAAAATTTTTAATTATTTCATTAATTGCATTTTTACTTTTATGGTTATCAAAAATGAAAATAACAAGTCATATCCCAGGTCGAAAAGTACCGGCCGGTTCCGGCAGGAAAACACCGGAAATCAACGGAACATGGAAGCAGTATTCCGGCCGGAAATTTTTCGGATTTTTTCCGGTGAATTCCAGCCAATTCCTGTTCTTTCCGGCAGGAACCGGCCGGAAATCCGCCGGAAAAAGTCCGAAAAATTTCCGGCCGGAATACTGCTTTCATGTTCCGTTGATTTCCGGTGTTTTCCTGCAGGAACCGGCGATTTTTCCGCGTCTTTCCTGCCGGTTTCTGCAGTATCCGGTGACCGGAACGATCGACCTGGGATTTGGTTTTCAACATCCGAACGATTAGCAATGACTTATAAGTTAATCTTAAATTTATTTTAATTTTAATTAAAAATTTTTTATTTTTATTAGATTATTTGGTTTACCTTATTATGAATCAGCTATTGTTGAACAAAATTTATTACTTAATAAACGACAAAAAGATGAAATCGAAATGAAAGGTATTTATACAATTTGTGAAACGATATAGAGAGTAAAAATCTGAAGTCACGACAGATGTGACAGACAGCAGTGGTATGAGGGAGTGGCTCAGATAGCCAAGGAGTATGGAACACATTCGGTGCTAGCTGAAATCAGTTGTCTTACTTTTGGTAACAGTAGTTGTTTTGTGTTAACAGTTCTTTTCTTTTCTAAAGGTAATATCGAACCTGATTTAACTCTCGAAAGAAAATTTCCTGTTCCAATGATTTATGTTTGTACAACAATGTGGCATGAAACAACAAGTGAAATGATTCAATTATTAAAATCTGTTTTTCGGTAGATTAGAAAAGAAAAGAATGAAAATTATGTTTATTTATTATTATTGAATTTTGAATAGTCTTGATTCTGATTAACATGCTCGTCGAACTGTACAAAAAATTTACGAATTCTTGATCCGGACTATTATCGATTTGAAACACATGTTTTATTTGATGATGCATTTGAAGATGATGAAAATGGTAATCGTATACCAAATCGTTATGTTAAACAATTAGTTGCTACTGTTAATGTTGCTGGAGCGTATGAAAAATTTATTTTTATCAAAAAAAGAAAATTAATTTATTAAAATTAATTTAGATATGTTCATGGTGTTGAAAAGTTGTTGAAGATCCAATTAAAATTCCTACACCATATGGTGGACGTCTTGTTTGATTATTACCAGGACAAAATCGTTTAATTCTTCATATGAAAGATAAAAATTTGATTCGACATAAAAAACGATGGAGTCAAGTTCGTTTGTGTTTTAAAACAAAAGGAAAATTTTTTTTTCGTCTTTCTTCAAGAAGCTGTTTTATTTATTTCAACAATTTTAGGACTAGGAACTATTTTATTAACAATTGTTTCTGCATTACTTATAGTTTTTTCAACTTTAACTATTGCAGAATTATATACAATATCTATTTTACCAGCACTTTTTTATATTCTTGTATTTTCTACTCAGGTCAAAAAAGCACGATCGTAAACGGTCGTATACGACCAAATACGTCTAAAAACGGTCATCGTACACGACAATCGTATACGATGAACGTATACGGTGCCATACGCTCAAATACAATCAACGTATACGTTGAAAATAAACGACTGCCGTGCACGAGTGTAGTATACGACTGTATATGGTCGTAAGTTAGTCGTAAGTTGAGTTGCATGTGGCGACCATACCCAGGTCGAAAAATCACATAGTAAGATCAGTTATGAATTCTTGTATGATCCTATTCGATGTTACTCAAAAATCGTATATGTTCATACAAGATGACACAAAAAATCATATGAAAAATTGTCTTCTCAGAAATCTGATGTCAATTCTTCTAGCAAGTTTCTTAGATGCTCCAACACTAAAATCTTGTATGATTATAAAAAAATCGTACAGTAAGGTTTTAACTGATTTCTTTAAAAACATACATGCTCGTCATGTTTCACCTTCCCTGGCAGCTATAGTTCAACTTAACTTCACATAGCCCAGATCTTTTTACTTACTGAACCCGATGCATAGGTGCCTACACCGGCAGTTATCATTACATAATAAAATTCATAGCATAATAGTCACAACAACTCATGCATAAAAAAGTTTACTCTCTATACCGTTACCAAAGAGAAATAAGAAATAAAAGTTAAGATTTTCTACATTACCAATATAGAAATATAAGAAATAAAACTTAAGATTTGTCATATCAGTAATATAGAAAAATAAGAGGTAAGAAGTTAGCATTTTCTATATTATTGTTATCGACAAATAAGACAAACAATATCTGTTTCTATATCTGTTCATACCAAGAGAAAACAGATGTCGCCTGTTTAAAAAAATGTAATTTTTATCAGTATCAGACACATTTATTCCTTTACAAATTTTTTTTTCTGACACTCAATTGAAAGGAATAAAACAAATATACCTCTTATTTAAAACTATGTTCAACGTTTTTTCTTCGATCAAGTATGTATTTGAACACAGAGATATTACTCTTCAGTAATAATATCTGTAACGGTAGCAGACATAGCCTGTCTATTTTGTATGCATGTATGTATATCTGCATTCTTTTTCCATTAAGTACTCAATTCTTAACATAAGATAGGTATCTCGTATTTGATATATATGAGCTTTGTCTTACATAAAGTAGCCAGTTTATAGCAGTAAAAAGATGAATACTTCTTACTTTATACAGTCTGTTTTCATTTCATCTAATATTTAGCTATACGGATAGAGACACATTCAGATAGTACTATATTGTATAGTCGTTATTATCAATCAGTAATTCGTTCATGAAGTAGAGAGATATTTCTTATCCAATAGAAATTAGTTAGATTATATTAAATCTTCAGTTTTGAATGAGTCTATGTTAGAGAGTACTCTAACATACGTCTTATTTTTATTCTTCTCTTCAACTTGTGTGTGCACCATCATTCGGATATACTTTTTCACTCTACATACGTTAGTCGATGGATATTTCTTTTCTTTCCTTTTCTTCTCTTCTTTCTTTTCTACTTTCCTATCTGGCCGTGACAATTTCAACTAATTCTCGGTCTTTTCTTCTATTCTAAATTTACGGGCATTTTTAACGAAAGAAGATATTGGACATCATCTTCATTATTTAGAACCGTCTAGGCTGAAGTAGAAGACACTTATTCATCTCTCTCTTTGTATTTTACTTGTATTTCTCTCTCTCTCTCTCTTTGGCGTTAATATATATATGTGAGGTAACAAAAAGGAAAAAAAAGAAGAAAAATAATATAATTCGAATAAAGTGAATAGACCGAAGAAACTCGGCTGAACCGAACCAAAAGAAGATTTTACAAACATTAATCTTCGTTATAGAAGCAGGGATCTGTAACAGTCTGAAATCGTTATTTTTATCAATTTATTTATTTTTTAATGTTGACTCCAGCATTAGTATAGCAAATTATACATTAGATTATATATAATACTAATATTTCAATTGTATAAATAATTTACTATTTGATGAATTTTCTTTTTTTATTTCTGGATTAGATGAATATTATTTTTAATTTTTAGACTAGATAAATTTTATTTTGTTATTTTTAGATTAAATAAATTTTATTTTTTATTTTTAGACTAAATAAATTTTATTTTTTATTTTCAGATTAGATAAATCTTATTTTATTATATTTAGATTAAATGAATTTTATTCTCAGATTGGATAAATTTTAAATTTTATTTTTTAGATTAAATAAATTTATTTTTTATTTTTTAGATTGTTAAAAGGATAAATAAAATCATAAAGTAGCAATGTAATGGAATGGGGATGTCCAATTTGGCTGGAGGTTCAAGTTCTTGTTTTTCATGCAGCTTTGATGATATATCGAAACAGTACGGTGATATATCATCAAAGCTGCCTGAGAAATAAGAATTGGGAGCTCCAGTCAGACTGGACACCCCAAAAATTAATTTTTCCATCTTTGGAGAGTTGGGAGGAGGGGAGGGTAGGTAGCAAAATTTTGAATAAAGTACGATGACAATCCACATAGTATACGACTGTGTACGATCGTTTACGATGGGCGTATATACGCCGTATTTCATCGTATACGACACGACGATATACGGTCCTAAATCTGGCGTCAAGTAATACGGCGAAATACGGTCGTATACGATCGTAATTTACACCGTATACGACTGTACACGATCGAATACGACGTCGTATACGATCGTTTAGGACTATCGTAATGCTCGTCCTGGGTAGATCATCATGTCTTCAAATTCACGATTTATCAATCTTATTCAAGACGAAGTAAGTGCTATAATATGAATTTTCCATCTCATTATAGCCTCTATCTCTTTCTATTAGCTATATATCGTCAAGATTTTCTTAAAAATGCAAAAGAAAATAGTAAACAATCAAAAAGAACTAAAGAAAAATTCGTATCTCCTCGATTCAATTGAAGAATACGAAGAACAAGTCAAGAACTTAAACAACGCAATTTACATCGAAGAAATTCTCAACAGATACATTAATTATACTATAGGAGAACCACCTCTGCATATAGAACACAATGATCCTAGAGATTGTCTTGGTAATTTTAATTGATAGAAACAAGAATTTTTTAATTAATCGATTTTTTTAAAGATTCCACACATCATCAAGTTGATGAATATTCACGTCAACGTACAGAAGAAATTAATGAAGCTGTTTTGCAATCAATTCGAAAAGTAGTTGCTGAAACTCAACAACAACCACAACAACTTCTTGCTGATGCTAATTCACGTACAACTGGTATTAATTTAAAAATACTTTTAATCAAGAGAAAAAATTTTGTTGTTTTTTTTTCTTAGAAATTCAAAATAATTGTAAAGGTGATGTTCAAGAACGTGTTGCTAAAGGTGATGAAGAAAAAACAGCTTCATTTGCCCCAATTAGAAAAGAACATGGACAAGAACTTCTTGCTGATCCTAATCCACGTACAACTGGTATTAATTTAAAAATAATTTTAATTAAGAAAAAAGGGTGTGGGTGTGGGTGTGGGGTGTGGGTGGGTGTGGGGTCTGGGTGTGGGGTGTGGGTGGGTGTGGGGTCTGGGTGTGGGGTGTGGGTGGGTGTGGGGTCTGGGTGTGGGATGTGGGTGTGTGTGTATTTTCATCATTGACGCCCACACCCACCCACCCACCCACACCCAATTCGCAAAGAACATGGA